GTGTGTGTGTGTGTGTGTGTGTGTGTGTGTGTGACAACTTCTCTACAACCTATGATTTCTGCACCAGTCAACAAGCTTATATTTAAACCACTTTTAAGCTTTTCACCTCTATTCTCTTAGAGCAGAACTTCCTAAGTGGAGATCCTCTATGGTGTCCTAACCCAAAAGAGGTCTTTGTGGGCTCTCAGAGGATTCTGTTGAGTGCTACACATTGTGTGTCAATTCCTTGTGTTTGTGTCTAAATGTATGTGTACACACACAGTGCATTTTCCTGGAGAGAAGGCATATGTGCCATCAAATTCTGAGTTTGAAAACCAAAACCCTTCAAAGCAATGGTCTATGGATAATGTTCTTCTAATAAAAGTAATTTTAATAATATTTACTATAGTCTGTCACTGTGTGCTTTCCTGAGTAGCACCCATAGGCGTTTGGCACAGGAGCTCCCTTGTGCTCACAGCAGTGCTGTGAGAGGTCTCACATCCTCAGGATCACAGAGCCTGTGTCTCCTGAGTGGGTTTCCAGCCACCAGCCACGTTGCTAATAGGAGTTTGCTCCAGCCTTTCCACCCCACACAGCACCCGCTCCCTCCCTCTGGAATAAGCTGTGCAAGGACAGGCAGACACGAGCCATGTGATGTCCCCTCGTTGTCTCCCCAGCCAGCTAACGTGTTTCTCCTGCAGCTGTTCCTCCTGTGATGGGTCCTCTCCCATGGTCTCCACACATGAGCATGTCTCTCTGTGCAGCTACTTGGAATCACATCATTTCCTGTCTCTGACTTAAAATTTTAAATGCCTGGCAATCACACAGTGACTAACACCAGCCCCCTCACGCAGTTCCCAAGGCACTGCCTGAGCTGAGGAGCCTGCCTTTCTCCTCCAGGCCTCGCTCACCTTCTCCCTCCTTCCTGCCCTTCGGCTGTGGGGCCTCCTCTCTGCTCCTTGGCTTGTTTCCATCTCAGGGTCTTTGCCTCGGTTGCTGCTATCTGGAATGCTCCTTTCCTGCGCTCTTTTCCTGGGCCAGTCTCAGCCGAAGGTCCTCTCCGGAGTCTCTCAGTCTCTCCTGTCCGCCTGGGCTTCCTCCTTTCTATTGGCCCCTCGCCCCTATCTCCCTACCTCTGCTGGCTCCCTTTCACATGGATGCCTTTGCTTCCTTTCCCTCACAGCACTGATCAGTTCTGTGCAATGACTCCCGTCTCACTGGATTTTGCTCCTCCTCAAGGTCACCTTCACAGAGACTGTGATGGCTTTGTCTTTCCTGCTTCCCTCAGAGGCTGAGTACCTGACCTCGGGCATAGGTCCACACGGTACCTGGGTCGGTACCAGCCAAGTGACAGAAGACCTTTCTGACAGCTCTCAGTGGCTGCCTCTAAGCTTGCTGCTCATATCTGACCCTCCTGTCACCCCTGGGTTGCTGTTGCTATCACTGCTGGTGGTGTCCTGGAAGCCAGGGGCTCTGCCAACTCTTACCCATCGGACTCACCCTGGGATGTCCCTGTCAGGCCACACCCTCCTCACCCTGGGCTTCTGCAATCGGCTTTTTTCTCCAGGAACTTTATTTTAGTGGGTCAGCACCACTGTGGTAGGTTTGGCTCAGTCTTTACACCTTTTGGAATCATTTAAGGTCTTTATTCTCTTTCCAAATAGCTAAGTCATTTTGCCCCAACCCCTGTAGACGAGACTTATGGAGTATCCTCTTCCCCCAGCCCTAGTTTGTGTTTCTGATGTATGTTGATGTGAATTTTCAACATCCTTTCTTGCTTTGATGCAGCCTCCTGTATCACATGAAGCTTCTATAATTCTGGTGACAAAACACTGAAGAATTTGTGTAAATGCAATCTGTAAAAGTTGTTTCAACCCCATTCTCTCCTTTTCTAAGTTCAGGAATCATGGTTGCTCTTCAAGGACCAAACGGATTGCCCTTGGGTTCTGCTCTGGTTGCTCTCAGCCTTTCCCTTTTTCAATTTTTTATTACTCTTGCGTGGTGAGGGAGTGAAATCATTTCTTCACCAAAGAATGTTCATAGCTCTTTGGGCATACTCAGCCACGTGGAAGGCGAGTTTCTCCTCCTGTGTAAATCTGTGGGAAGAGAGAATGGTCACACACAAAGACAGAGTGCAGATTGTGGCTGCTCAGAGCTGCAGAGCATCTTCTACCTCCCATCTTCTTACTAGGAAAGTTAAGACAGAGTGCAGATTGTGGCTGCTCAGAGCTGCAGAGCATCTTCTACCTCCCATCTTCTGATGCTAGGAAAGTACCTGGCTCATCACAGCTGCAGTGAGCCCACAACTTCAGTACTGCTGCAGTGACATGAACCGGTGCCACTGCACGACGTTAAATATATTAAATACCTATTGTTTGTTTGTGATAACCCCACTGTAGTCCTCTGTGTGCATTGACTCATTTGCTTCTTGAAGCAACTCATAAGTAAGTTCTCTCTTCTTTTTCTTGGCGAGGAGTACAAGACACAGGGAGGTAAGTGACTCCCACTGCTTGCGTAACTACAAAGTAGCAATGTAATTTCACGGGGAATCCTGTTGTGTGAGCCATTTTCTCTCTTAACCACTGCCATTCTCCACCTGCCAGAATTTGTGCTGGGGTTTAGGCATGCATCATTGTCTCGCGTCCTCCCTTTTCCTCTATGATGTGAGGATTTTTTTCTTCATTTTACAAACAAGAAAACAAGGTTGTAGAAGTTTAAACAGCCTTCCCGTGACCACAGGACCGGTAATTGTTATGATAGTAATTGGAATTGGAACGCAGCTTTCCAAACCCTAGCCCCCACTGGTGCTTACTGATGGAGGCGCATCAGAAGTGGACGTGTGGATAGCTAAACTTAGATTAATACTTTTCAAAAAAGAAGTACATTTTTTCATCATAGAGAGCGGGGGCTGTGGAGAGACCCCCAATATGTTTCATGAATGAATGGCAGACAGCTCCCTTTACCGCATGCAGCTCCCTAACAGTTATGAGCCTGAACACAATACTCTGCTCCTTCAAGAAAGAGAGGAAGAAGTTGGCAATAAATAACAGTACACTTGGGGTAATGAAATAGCAAAAACATCTTAATCATGAGATGTTTGTGTGTGCCTTTTTTCTCTGACTGAAGAATTAATCTACACATGACAGCAGCATTCATCAGGCAGCAATTCTGGTACCAGTAGTGCCTGATGAAACAGATTAAACCCAACTTGAATAGTAGCACGAGCTAGTTTAAAGTATTTTATTAAAATTGCTATATGCTTACGAATATATTTTTAGAAGTCATGATACATACGAACTTAAAAAAAAGCGCTCATGTGTATGTGTCTGTGCCTGTTTCAGCAGAATGCAAATCCATAAACCTGAATCCTGTACCTTGTGCTGTGTAAAGAGCTTCGGTGTTCACTTGCTGAACAAGATCATGATACACCCCAGTATTTGAGTGGTAGATTTAATAATGTATGAAAATGTGCTCATCCGTTTCGGGTTAAGAATTTCCTTCTCCATTATGCACATTACTGGACACGTGGAATGCTTTGAACAGTACAGGGAAGGGTTCATTGTGTAGAGGGTGAGCCCCTGACGTCGTACTCCGTGTCACCCCCGCCATGTTCTGCACCTCCCCTCGTCTTCCTCTCTCATTCTTTCCCTCCTGGAACACGTATGGTCGTAACACCAGTCAGTTCCTTCCTGGGATACGCCCGATGACACTTACTATGCAGATAAAATGGTGAAAACGACCTAGAAAACGAAGCCTCTCCTTTTTAAAAACGCTCTCCACTTTATTTTACTGCATTCATTCTTTGGCAGCGAGTTGGTTATTTAACTGACGGAGGCGTTTGCCAGTCCATCCCCCTGCATTTTGGTTTTGATGGTGAGGGCCGTGGCTGTCCTTTCCCCAAGCATGCGCAGTGGTGTTTCAGCGGGCAGCGGGTCCCCCGAAAGTGAACGAGGTCTGAGAAGAGGAAGAGGAAGAGGAAGAGGAAGAGGAAGAGGAAGAGGAAGGGGCGTCTCATCCGGCCAGAGCCCTGCGGGTCCCCCGAAAGTGAACGAGGTCTGAGAAGAGGAAGAGGAAGAGGAAGAGGAAGAGGAAGGGGCGTCTCATCCGGCCAGAGCCAGTTGGGTGGGATGAGAGGTAGGGCAGGAATTCACTCCCAAGAAGGACTTTCAAGGGCAGCCTACCCTGCGTGCCTTCCTCGCTGTCCAGACGGCAGCCTCCTGGCCCCGGGAGTGGCCCGTTTTCCTCACTGTCCCCTGTTCGCCCCCACTGTGATGTGGGTGGAATTTTCACCTGCTCTCAGAGCACGTCCCGGGATTTTTAAATGATGTGCTTTCCTAATTATAGGGTGTTTCTGCCTAAACACAAGTTTTAACTGCTTAAAAAAGTCTTTAGCCATTTCCTGAAGCCTTGACGAGTAAGGCTAACTTTCTTTGGCTATTCCAGTGGAAAATTTAACGAAAATCTTATCCAAATTGTGATTTTTTTTTTTTTTAAAGCCAAGCACGATGCCTATCATCTCAGCACTCAGGGGGCTGAGCCAGGAGGATTGCCGATCGCGATCGAAGCCAGCCTGGGGTACATAGTGCAAAGCCAGCTCGAACTACACAGCCAAACTCTGTCTTAAACAAACAAACAAACAAACCACTTTTTGTTGATGTATTCATCAAAATGGTTATGGAAAAAGTCACATTCTTATCGAAGACGTTTCATAGATTTTTTTTGAAGACCATCATTTCTATTTAACTTATACCATGATAACAACTTACAGCACCTACCATTTCTATTCAACATGTAGCAATCATTTCACTGCAGCTTTTTTTTCTTTTTCTGGTTGGAGATATTGTAGTGGAAAGCACTCATTCCACGCAGAAATTCTGCAGCCTTCAAAGGGAGAGACACCTAATTAAGAACATACATTTATTATTGTCTATCTAGAATCCTTTGCTCTGTGCCCCACGGCCAGAGGGGTTGTTTCCTCACTCGATACAAAACACCTTCCTAAATGTTTCTCTAAAATGCAACATCCACAGCCCCTAAATTCCTCGGTGCAGACTACCCACACCCACAGGCAGCGGTGAAGGGAACAGGCGGGGTGGTGGCTTGGATGCGATAACTGACCGGCCTTTCTCCCGTAGGTCCCAGTCCGTGCTGGACCCCACGGTCCTGATGCACATGGATAAAAGCGAGGAGGAGAACATGCAGCCTTTGCTCTCTCTGGACTGAGCTCCGCGCCCACCCAAGCCGCGAAGCGCGAGAGAGGGCACGGTGGGGAGCCCCGGGCCAGCGCACCGTAATGAGCTGCAAACTCACTTATTCGTGTTAATGTAGCGTAATCTATACTACGGCACCCGCCCTTCCCATCTGCTGGAACCGTGGGTGCCCTGGGCTGGATTTTTTTAAAAGTCAATAATTTATTCTGTAAGTGCCAAGTTCTTTGTAAATACAATGTAATTTCATGTCAAGTTTGTAAATTTTGGTAGTCATTGACTTTGGGAGAGATTGACATCAAAGTTTGAGCCAGTGAGATGAACTCTAAGCAAAAGCAGAAAATGCGCATAAACTACCAGTACTGGTTAAACGTAGCCGTAATTCCGATGAAGCCGCATTTCTGCTATCATGGTGAATTGTTTCATTGTTTCCCTCTGCAACTCCGTGGACACAGGGAACGAAATCGTTCTAGGAAATGAGGAGGTGGCTGTTACTGTCCGATGGAGAGATTGTCTCTCTGGAGCAGATGTAGCCCAGGATGTGCACAGGACTCGCACTCGTGTCTCGGGCAGCAGATCCGCAGGTGTAGTAAATCCGGACTCAGCTCCGCCGTTCAGTTTCCACAGTCTCGTACACAGGTCTGTTTCCATCTAAGATTCGGAATCCCGAAAGAGAGGAGATTCTTCCTACACTGCTGTCTTCACAACCCTCACATATTCTGTCTGGTATACTTGGAGAGTATTTCCCTCCAAAACTCTGACGGAGAAAATGAGAACTCACATGTGAACAGTGTTCTGACAGCTAATTCCGAACATAAAATCTGCCACTTACAAATAAGGGTCTAATTTCTAATTATTGTGCACCTGCTGAAAATATATATATTCACACACAACATATTTTTGCTGAGCTCTGATAAATCCCTGATGTGACAGGCTTATAAAAGAAATCATATATATGAAAGATTGTAGAGATGTTATACATAATTACATGGGATACTAATTCTGCAAAACCACTGAAGTTAATGAAAACAAGAAACAGTGAAACAGACTGTAGTGTACCTCTTTAAGGGAATTCCAATATTCTTTCTAATGCTATCTTGAATATGTGCCACTTTAGTGAAATATATTTTTCCTTAAAAGAAGCAAGAGGTCTCAATACAGTATAGATATCAGGTGACAATAAAATAGTTTTCCTCAGATTAAATCCTAGTGTTCCTGTATTTCACGTTTTCTTTTCAGAAAAGATTGAAAGAATACATTCCTTGTGGAGACATTTTGAAAGCATCTGAGGGTATCTAAACTAGAAGACCTGTTCAGACATAAAATCTGTACATTGTTTAAAATTTTCTTGCTGAAAATCTTACAGTTACAGCAAGTTTAAAATCCTATTTTAAGTTTTAAAGCCCAATGTAAAAAGCAAGATTTTAATCACTTTTCAAAATATGAATTTTGAGATTGAGAGTTTAGCATGAATGTATTCTTTGGGGGGAAAAAAAATCTCCAAGAATTCTTGGAAACCAACAAAACAGTAAAAGTATGTAAGAGCCTCTGCATACTTTTTAGACAAGAAATTCTGGTTCCAAATCTACAGCCAAAAATCTCCAGACCAAATCAGTATTCCAATCAATGTTTCAATGAAACAGGCTTGTTAAGGTGCATAAATTAACAAGAGCAAAAGACACTCTTAGAGTGGCAACTTCCAATCAAGGACAGAGAATAATGAATTTAAGGCGCTGTTCTCCCCTTTACTGTTCCAGAGCCCGGAACCACCTGGGATTAAAGTTGAAGCAGTTCTTGTAAGAACCTAGTCATTGATATGCCTAATGTTTTGGGTAATTGGCATGCGTACCACAGCCCTGGGCTTGTTGTTCTACATAACTTTGTATAAGCAGAAGGATCTCTTGGAATAAATAGAAATAATGCGAGTACAGTGCAGAAGGGCAATCAGCTGTTTGTTTCCTTGAGTTTCTCTGGCTGTGCATCATCTCCTCTGTTGCCAGTGTTCAGAACCCTACCAGCTTCTGATGTCCACCTGCACAGACAGTTTCATCCCTCCGTCACACACTTAGTGTCATACGTAACAAGACCTAGTATCATTTACGAGTCTCCCTGACCCGTGTTCGTAGATTTCGCATTCCCATGGCTGCCTTCTGCTATTCTTCAGATGAGCAATTGAGGGCTGGCTAGGTTGTATAACATACTTAAAAGTGAATGAAAAAAATGACAGTGATGACTTTTGAAGTTGTTCTCTCTAGCTTGGTCTGCGAGTCTGTTTCTCCTTCCAGCAATGTTTTCGAAGCCGCTTAGTGAAGGGATGTTTTTGTTCCACTTTGTCACTGCTCCTCAGCACCAGCTAGCTGGCACTATTCAGGTGTTTTCCCTCTTTATTATATTGCCTAGTAAATGAGCATGCTGTCTTTATTCTTTCCCTTTAGCTGCAATAGTACAGTTCCCTATTCCACTCATACACACATACCCAGGACGTGTCTAATGACTTTGCCTCTGCATTTTGAGAGCTACACTTTGCTTTTTCAGTTGTCTTGTTATTTGAAATGTGTGAAAAGAGCTACCACACAGACTTGGTTTAAATAGTCTATTCGCCCATTGACTACTTTTTGCTTTTCTCAGTGCTAGGGCTCAAAACCAAGGCCTGGGGCATGCTGGGTGAGGGCTCTACCGCTGGGACCCTGTTTACATCTCTCATGCTGTCTCTGACGTCTTCTACTTCTCATTTCTGTCTTTCAGCTGTTTTGGGGCCACTGCTTCCAAAACTGGTTTAAAAATAAATCACGCCCCTTATCGTGTCATCAGTGATAGTTGCACAGATTTTGAGTACTGTTTAAAACAGAAGAGATTATCATAAAAATATATGTTAAAAATATGAAGAAGTGCCTCTTTGAAAATGGAATAAAGCAGTGATACTGGCATATAGATTTTATCTGTGCTGTCTTCTAAAAAGTCCGTGTGTACACCTGTATTAGAAGGGTAAAACAGATATGATTTGGAGATATACATTTGAGAGTTTTCTGTCAATATTCTCATACAGTATTAAGTCTATTGTGTAAGTGTGATACAGTAACTTTAATCCGTGCTATTTACAAACCAACACTACGCCAATGCAATTTACAAATATCAAATAGAGTTTTCCAGCAAGTTCCTGAAATGGCCATGCATGATTTCTTTTTATTTCAATAATAGTTTACTAAGTGTAGACAGAGGCATTTTGTAAGTCTTTCTATATAAAAATGCTTGTTTTTAATATTAAAATTCACACATTCACATACAGAAAAGTCAAGCAAGTAGACTCTTTTTCATATTGTTAACTTGGTCACGTTGTTAAACATTTCAAGTTCCTGTAATAGTCCTAAGGGAATAGAAATCTCTCCATTGTATCAAGAAAATGGAGCGTTGTGTTAGACTCTGGGGAACATGTTCATGACTCGTCACAAAAAGAAACCTTTAGGGCCAGGGCAGAGGGTCTTCACACCCAGGCTTCTGTTGCTTCCATAAACAGCCTAAAGGTTTATGAGATGTCTGTGATCCTTTGAATAAGTCATATCGAGGAAATCTACGTAGAGGCTGCACACTCTTGTGTTGTTTTATTTAAGGTCTACCTTGTCTGGCTGGTTAATAAAGTCTCTTTTGTTCTTTTTCTTGTATATATTTATTAATGATTCATTGAAAGGCTGCCACCAGCCATGGCAATATTCCAGAAATATTTCAACACAGAATAAAATGAGAAGCTTTCTGGTATGAGGTCTGAAATTTAGATATGGTGTTTACACATTTGATTTCAGTAAGCTCATGAACCTGTATTCCATTTTAGACTAGGTCAATGGCCTAAAACTCAGCAGTGCATTTTAAATTTGTCGGGCCATTAGATCGTTCAAGAAAAAGTGGATTACATACAGATATATTGGAACAAAAATGCGTAAATATTCTGGGTATATATTATCTTCAGTAATGAAAAGGATTTTTTTCTCTTATTTTGTGTTCGTTGAAAAGCTGCTTGTCGTATGTGGTTAGAAGTACCTGACGTGATGTGTTACTTGATGGGGAAGAAAGCAGAAATGCAGAAGAACCCTGGCTTTGTAACAGGATGAGTCATGGTCTCAGCAGCTTACAGAATATATAGTTTTTCACAGATTGAAATTTTTACTTCAAAAGTATCTGGATGCTGACCCTACACATAAAAATAATATTGTGAAGACTATAATTTGGCAAATAGGGGATTGGATTCCCCAGAGTATAGGGAAAAAAATCAAATAGAAATTCTGTTTGTTGAAACACTGTAATTAGACCTTTTATTCAAAAAGGATGGAGCACAAATGAGATTGCTAAAGTAAAAAGATATTGAGAAGCCAAATAATTATAGATACAACAGTGACTTCGGTATTACGTACTGAATGGTTTTAACAGTTTGCAAGCGGTTTTGTCAGCATTTGATTAGTTTCAAGCCTCAACGAAAGTATTTCTGTTCTTAATAATATAAGTACATTGATTCTGTCAAAATTATTCTTTTAGTAAATTAAATAGACCTAGATGAAATTTAAACTAAAGTTTGACAAATCTTCTAAGCATGAACCAATCCCCAAGTATTTGAAAAATTTCAGTGAGCTGTGATTGGCGTATTTATTGCAGTATACAAATCAGTGTCTTGTTTCTAACGCAGTTTTTTCCTTTAAAGTTAAATAAAGCCTCAAAAACCAAATAACTTTTGTTTTACAATTTACCTAAGAGAAAATTATACAAGTTTTGGCAGACTGTGAAGCACACTATTTTTATTTGGCTTAGTTGCTGTTGCTGTTTTTGAGCCTCCTCACACTTCTGTGCGATTGAAGGGGGTTATTCCAGTGGGACACTATAACATAAAACACTTGAGGGGCCAGGGATTTAGCTTAGTGGTTCGGTGGCCTGCCTTGCAAGTGCAAGGACCCAAGTTCAATCCCAGGTACCAAAAACCAACAACAACAACAACAAAAAACACAAAACACGAGTAAGTACGCATTTCTGTTTTTAAAAACTACGTATTTTTCATATGGTGGACATCAAATTTGGAGGTACTTGATTTGTTACACCTGTAAACTGGAGATTTCTAATACAGCACCTAAAGCTGACATTAATTTTAACTTGAAAGAAATTGTCGGTTATTTAGGTTAAGATACTTGAAATTTCTGACATCTGGATTTTGGAGCATAAGGGGGAGTCTACCGAATTTGTTTTATCCAAATGGCATTCGGTGCTCTATGGCTTCTAGACAAACCTTCTAGGGTCTGGAGGAAATACTTTAATCATGACATGGAAAACAATTTCAAAATGCTCAGAGTTAAAGAGGCCACTCAAGCCTGGCAGACACGAGGGCACCGAGTCAGGGCACTGGGGGAGGGAAGGATTCTCAGCACAGTTTCTGCCTTCCTCTGAAAACAAAGATAAGTCTGATCCATTCTGCCCTTCCCTCCCTGATTACTACTGTATAAGTATCCCACAGAAACCGTGGGCAGGTTTGTTAGCTTTCTTTGAAGCAAAAAAGTGCTCTATCCTTATATAAGCACAGCTCACTGGTTACATATGATTGAAATATTTGCATGATGATTTACAAAGTGTTATCTAAAAGCTTTAAAAATAAGATTGTAAAGTTTCGGCACTAGAAGATGATTAAATGTTCATTGTGTCTGAGATTCATGGACAAACTGGCCCTATATTTTGTTTTGCATTCATGTATCTAACATTTTCCTTGGTTGTCCACAAGATTTCAGAATTCTCATTGAAATACTAACTTCTGAAATCCCTCTGCAAGAATAAAAAAACCAAAGTCCTCACACTTGTACCTGACAAGGGCTGACATGAAGCCACTGAGTATCAGTGTAGCAGAATAGTATAGTTTCTGGATGGGCGTTTGCGCCTGTACAGTTCGTGGTGGGTCCATACCCTAACTTCCCACACCTGCGATCTTGACTTTTCCTAGACTGTCTCTAGAGAATCTCTCCTTGATGCCATTAATTTGCTGCCAAACAGCCCAGCAGCCGGCCAGGCACAGCTCTGAGCTAAGACCCTCACTCCTTCTGCTCCTGCTGCTGCTTTCTCCCAGATGGCTGCCCAGCTATTTCCTGCTCTCCCCTGGGGCTTCATTCAAGTGCCCTTTCTCAGCAAGGACTCTTGTTTCCCTCTTCATGGTGCAAAGCTCCCTGGCTCACCACGTTCTCCTTTTCTGCTGTATTTCTTTGACAGCATTTATTTACCACCCAACATTGCCAAGGAGCTCATGGATTTGTCATATTTTTCATCCTCCCCCAGTCGAATATGAACTCCACAAGGGCAGGACACTCTTGTTTGTTTACTGTAGCCTCATTGGTGCCTTGAACAATGCCTGCAACTTACAGAAAGACAAAAGAAGATTTCATAATGACCAGAGCAGCGAATGGTAGGCATTGAAAAAGTTTGGATTTCATCTTAATTTAAAACTGTCTTGGGCCGGGGATTTAGCTCAGTGGTTCGGTAGCCTGCCTTGCAAGCTCAAGGACCCGAATTCAATCCCAGGTACAAAAAAACAAAAACAGAAACAAAAACAAAAAATCCAAACTGTCTTGCTATTCATCTTTCAAAGGGGAAGACTTCCCCTCTCTGATAGTGATGTGATCATGAACCAAAAATTCTATCTCCCTCTCTCCAAATCTGATCTCCATCCCAGGCCTGTTCAGTATGTGTTTCAGCTTTGGAAATTCCCCCAAGGTCATTGGGTCCCTTGCCTGCCATATACACAGCTTGTGCTTACTCGTAGACACTACCAATATACCTCAGATTGAAAACGGTTTTGAGGTTAAACTAATGGTGATTATCTTAGTTAATTGCCATTTTTAGAAACTGCAGAAACTTAAGAGATTGTAATTCTCCCAGTACTGGAAGCTAGTATAAGACAGTTTGCCTAGCTAGTTGTTTTTCTGTGAAGAAGAGACTGAGGAGGAGCAAAAAGCATGTGGTCCCTTTTATGCAACCATTGTAAGGTGACGGCAGAAGTGTTTTGGTGTTTTTAAGATCTAGCCACGATCTGGAAACGTGTTAATCTGAAAATACTTTTTAATAGAAGTCTGATGTTAATTGGCTTTTACATTTGATATTTTTATATTTATTATTTTTAAAAATTACAATTTGGAAACAAGATGATACAAATCGCTCATGCTCATATTCTAACTGACTTTTCAACTTCGCCATCCTCTTTTTAAATTTCAGCTATCATTGTTAGTGCCTTACGGATCTTACTTTTTCTTAACTATCCCCATCATTTGTTCCCTACTGTTTGGACTGAATTCTCCCTGAATCCGGTAACCAAGCAGCCTAGGGATGGGTTCTTGGTGTGATGAGTGTCTGGCTTTTATCCTTTGCCATTTATCTTTTCACCCTTAACAGACTCATCACTCCTTCACTTACCTGCATCACTGTGCCTGTTTTCACCCTTAACAGACTCATCACTCCTTCACTTACCTGCATCACTGTGCCTTTGCCTACATTGCGATAACAGAATAATTCAAACCTCCAGTTTAGGATCTCCTCCCAAGCCTCCTGCTAAGCAGGCTCTAGAAATAAAGAGATTGCAGGTGGCATTGACGCAAGGTGTCTAACCTGAAGGATGAGGGTGGAGGCCCTAAGTGGTTTCCGAAGACAGCCAGGGTTGGACTGGGGGGCAGGAGGGTTTTGTTTCTCACGTGCAATGTAGCACAACGTTGATCAACATAAACCTGCTCCTTGTTAATTACACAAGAGATGATGACCAGGGTCAAAAGATGCTTTGAGAAACCTTCTCTAGAGAAAAGAATAATGTCTGTCGCTCAGGACCAAGACAGTTTCCCATGGGTCTTGTGTTCGGTCCCTGAGCTCCATACAGTGGGTGCCACTGCCTGTGTGATGTGCTCGCCCGGCCCAGAGGAATGTCGTCAGCGTCACCTTGGAAATGAGGGCTTCAAGTGGAAGGATGCGCAGTGCAGGGCGTGCTCTCCTCTGCCAATTGTTTTCTTTTCAAAAACTTTTTTTGAGTCCCAAGGGTATGTTCCTTAGAAAATTTCATGCATTATGTCCACTTTGCAATGGATTTAGAAATTTTCTCAGATGGGTACCTGTTTGCTGTATTCTTAAAGCCATCATATTAATGTTTTTTTTTTCCTTTTTAACAAGAGAGTATTCATTGTCTTTGTCAATTTATGAGGATGAATAGAGTTCTGTTAAATAAAATGTCACTAAGTGAAATTCCAGATTTGGAACGAGTGTGTGTGCCCTTTTGGTCTCTGCATTACCACTAGATTCCTGTAAATTTACAAAACGTCACATGAAATAGCTATAAATTGTCAGAATATGGAGGCATATGAAATTGGTGTTAGTATTTGGAAGTGTGAAATGCTTCTAAAACTGCCTGAGTACTTATAGCTATATTTTAATGTTACCTTGAATGCATTATTATTTGATCAAAATATTGGATGACTTTCTTTTTTGTGTGTGTGTACTGGAAATCGAACTCAGGGCCTCCCACATGCCAAGCAGGTTCTGTGCTGCTGAGCTACATCCTTGGCCCACTTTGACGACTTTCTATAAGTTCCAAATCACTAGAAAGAACTTCCTGACTGGAATGATGGAAAGGAGACACAAGGCGGTGAATCTCACGGGGCTTTCCCTAAAAGCAGCCTGTGGCAGGGATGGCACTGGGATGAGTTCGCTGTATTTCAGTTTTGTGTCACCAGCTCTTTAACCAAGTCCTGAGCTCTTCTCTGAGTGCTGAGGGTGCAGGAGTAGAGGAAGCAAAGCCTTGCCCTTCTAAAGCCAGGAGGAGACTCGTAAGCACAGACAAGCGTTGTGTGTGTGTTGAAGACTGATGTAATTGTGTGACCTCTGGCACTCTGTTTGCTCATCTGGAAAATGGGAAACCACTGTACTCACATTATGAGCTCGATTTTGTTGTGTCTCTTTTAGACAATGTGACCCTTTCCTTCTTAGGGAAGAACCTTTGTTCATGCTGTTTCGGGTTCTGGTTTCCTGTCTTTTGTCCTTATGGCTGGTGGCGGAATTTTTGCCTATGCTCAGGGAAAGAAACTGAGTCTCAGAATTTGTCCCTTTCAGGGCCTTTCAGAGGTGTCATTTACTGGACAGTTCTGTCTCTTTTAAGATAAATTCCTTACTGTTTTAATTCATTAAGAGTGAAAAATAATCATTAGTTTTCTAGCAGAAAAAAGGACAAAAAAGATTTTAAAAATTCTGATAGATTGCATAATTTAATCTTTCTATTTGTGTTAGTTACTTTTCTCTCGTTGCTGAGACAAAATACCGGACACCCAGAGTTAAAGAGGAATGGTTTATTTAGCTCACAGTTTGTGAGGTTTCAGTCCATAATTGGCTGGCTCCAAGGGACAGTGGCACAGGGCAGAGGACGTCACAGAGGAGAAACAGCTTGTGGCACCCACACGGCAGCAAAAGCAACACGGGACTTTAACAGTGTCTTTCTGCCCCTTTTGTTCAGACTACCAGGATCAGGGCGGTGCCAAACCAGTCACTCACGAGGTTTAGTAATCAAACACCCTTAATCCCAACATCACACACTCTAGGTTCAGCCACCTCAGAAAAAAGCCCCATCTACTACTGCTTGAGGCTTTGGGGGGACATCTAGACACAAGCCACAACACTATTGAATCAATTATTTCCCTTATCCCAGCCCATGGCTTCTGCTAGTGGGCTTGAGTGCATTGTATGTAACATAGTCCAACATTATGGCTCTAGAGGCGCTGATCTGTGTAGTGTTAAAAGGATCATGTCTTGATTTTATCTGAAATTTAAATTTTTTTGTTAAGAGACCATATCATAAAATACCTTAAGAAACTCATCAAAGAAAAGCCTTACAGTATGCACAGAGCACTGAAGGTATTGATTATGATCCATCTAGGAGGAGCCACAAGTAAAT